ATCTACTAACAATCAATCGCTCATGTTACTTGTATTTCAAAGGTTTCCTATACATTTATTTTGTAGTGCGAATAAAACATGAAGTTGGAATATATATAATGACAATAATTGAATTCAACTCGTTTTTAAACACTAACTCAGCAGCTACAGAAGACAACTGCAGAGCCATCACAGTCAGACAAACAATACAAAACGTGAAGGAAACAACACAGAGGTGTAGGACTGATACAAATATATAAGGTATTATGCTGCACGGTAGATGCAAGACAGGCATATGTGTGTACTAACACTGAACGTAACAAAATGCTGCAATTGTCTATAAATTAAAAAAAAATGCTTCAAATCAATTCTTAATTATTTACGTGCAAGCTTAACAGCCCAAACTCCAATTTCAAACTTGGCACAAGTAAAAAGACAGTAACGATAATAAAGCAAACAAAATACAAAACAAAGCAATTTGTGTAGTAGTAGTAGTAGTAGTAGTAGTAGTAGTAGTAGTAGTAATTCCATTAAAATCTAGGTTGTTTTTAAGATGTGAGAAAAGTGAAATATGAACATTTACAATGGTAAGGCCACTATATACATAATACACACATACACACATAGAAGTTGTGTATAATTTGTGTTTTAATATAATGCAAGGATCATTATAAAACATGATTAAGGAAAATTCTCTTGGCTCCAATTACGTCAACGTCTCTGCAGACATTAGCAGCTGATGCACATCTAGCAGAGGGACAATTTTTACATGAGGAGCAGACTTTGAACAATGCAAAGTCTCTGGTATACCGAGCAGCAACTCGGAGACCAACAGTTTCTAAAATAGAAGGAAATTATTGTTCTTCGATTTCCCATAGCAATAATGATAGAAACAGTTATTTTTATTTGAAAACTCTCATTCTTGTTATGGTTATATGTTGTTGAGGAAAATTAGTAAATTGTGGAATCAAGCTGTGCTAGGAGTTCTAATTTGCAATGTAAATAATATTGGGTATAGATAACAATCAAGAAAATAGAAATAGATTTGTTGACTATTTACGTGAGCCGAGAAATAGGATTTTTTACGTTTGTATGAGAATTATTTAGAAAATGAAACGTTCAAATGCAAATCACCGGCAAACTTTCTCCTTAATATCTTTGTAGCATAAGAACTTCGCAGTAAAATTTCAGAATTATGCTAATTTTTCCTTCTAGACCAATGAATAGTAATCTCAATAGTAGTCCACATGTTTTGTTAACATATTTGTAAGTTTTTTGTTATTATTCGGATTTTGAGGCTGAAATTTATAGGGCTTGCCTAAGGTACAAAACCTATGAAATTAATTAATTAATTAATTACATTGTATTATTTATGCACGAACGGTTACGTTTCATAATAAAGCCCTCGCTGGTAAACTCTTATCTTTCTACGAGCATATATGGCAGAATGCGCAAATATTACGAGGGCTTCTAGCTGCTGTATCGATATTAGAGTCACGTTTTCGAGTTCGTGACACATGACATATATTTTAGCCTATAAACTTGCGTGCCTCATACCCTACAGTAATACAGCATAGGTAAACTTTTTTCCCAACTTGGTACAAGTTATTTACATACAAATATTTTCAGTGAAGCAGATGAGCTCACGGTATTTTATTCTTTAAACAATGAAATAATGACAAAAATGAACTGCTCGTAGCTTCAATTAGTACAAAGCTTCATACAACAAAAATTAATAATAATGTTCTCTTCTTCAAAGCAATAAAACCAATTAATCTGTTATAGGATTATATACGGAAATTATTATTCTATAAATAATGCCGTCTTCTGGGATATGGAGGCGTGTAGATCTTGTATGAACCGACGTTTCGGAGGAACGTATCGCCCCCATCTTCAGGGTAGCAAACTCCGCGAGAGAGCGAATTTGCAGACTGTAACCATCTGCCAACGCTGGTTCCTCGCTCGCAGATTTTACTACCCTGAAGATGGAGGCGATACGTTCCTCCGAAAGTCGGTTTACACGAGATCTACACCGCATTGCATCTCAGAAGACGGCATTCTTCATAGTCACCGCCGTGAAAACCTCAAATTTTATGTATTATTCTATAGTTTGTTTATTTTCTCAGCTGACTCTCTGAAACTAAATGGAAGACGTAAGTTCCGCCTAAACGCCGGTAAGCTATCAGACTACACGGCGTCACATAACAGAAGATAATATTATTTGATTAACTTTAATTTTATATCGGCAACTTTATGATATAGTCAATCACAGTGACCGCGCAAAGATACGAAATGACATCCCCCCCTCAAACACTGGGTTCGTGGGCTCAGATCCCACTTGCTGCATAGTTGTGTGCTTGTGTTTATTCTGTCTGTCCTGTTAACTTGTGTAGGAAGCGTCCTTGAGATGGGCTGATTCCCCGTCTAAGGACCCTAATGACTGCCTTTTTTTTCTTGTGGTGCTACAGCCCCAATTTGGGCCTAGGCCTACCTCCATGAAACTCTCCGTTTCACTTCGGTTTACTAGATCTTACACATTCGGTAGGACTCCTTGGACGAGGAATCAGTTCGTCGCAAGGCCTCTACCTGTAGACAAACACAGAAAAACACACACAAACATCCATGCCCTGAGAGGGATTCGAACCCACGATCCCGGCTTCCGAGCGAGCGAAGACAGTGCATGCCTTAGACCGCTCGGCTACCGTGACCGGCAGTGACTGCCTATAAGAGTTGTAATTTTACAATTAATTCTATATGGGAACAGACGAGGGAATCCGTCAAGTTACACGAAGAAAGATAATCCCATAAAATAAATTCATTAATTTGGCTACGTATTTTTAATACGTTTTACTATTCGATACCATTTTCTATACCGGTTTCTTTATACCGTTTGTTTTAACATTCAAGAACTGCATTTCCTTTGAAGAGTATATTTATAGATAATGTAAAATTTTCGGAACAAACAACAACAAAATTCCCTAAACAGCATTACCAGATTGATGTTTATATAATAATTTAGACGCAGTACAGGTTCAGTAGATAAGGTACAAAATAATTGTTTAAACATTTTTCAGACAGGCTAAGTGCTTTAATGTATTAAAACAAAGTTTAGTAATTCTGTATTCGGTGATGTGAGAGATAAGTGTATTTTTATAAGTATAAGATTTAGTCTGTTGTATTTTATCTGATTTTTATGTTATTAATCATAACTATTTACTTCCGCACTAACCAGTTTATGACGTTAGCGCACAGGAAGATTTTCCATTAAAGGACCGCTCAATGTAGGCCCAATTTATCCGAGAACTGCATTCTGCAAGTTTCAATGCCCTTAGAGTGAAAGGTGTATTCGCATTTAAGAGTCATGGGAACTGGAAAGACACGCCTTAAAAATGGGCGTAGAGGAAATAAAAAGTCCCCTTTGCGCATGCGTGGAGACCATGTTTTAATCTAAAATACGGTAACTCAAAATTTAATTTACTGAAGTCATGGCTTTGCGTCTAGATTTCGTCATGACCGGAATGTCATATTTTACTCATAACAAAATTAATACTTAAAACAAAAGAAAATTCAGTGTCTTAAAAAGGAAAGTCTATAACGAGTGGATAAGATAATTATGAACTTATCACGGCTTATATTTATACATGCCAGTTTATTTATTTAATTATTATGAAGGAATACTGAGGTTCGAATTATATAAATTAGCACCGAAATCATAAACTGAGCGGGGAAAGGGACTACTGATAAAATTACATTGATACGAAATACAAGACTATAAAAATTAAGAACGGATAACTACAATATTCTTACATAAAATTGTATCCATCATCTGCCTTAAATTTTTTATAATATTCAGTGAAATTTGGCAGGCGCATTCCTATAACGTTAATTAGTCTTATGTTCCTCCTTACTTCTCACGTTTTCTCAAAAGTTAAAAATCGAAGGCTTCTCATTTCAAGGTAATATTTATAATATATTAATATATACTGATTAATCTAAATCTGATGACTATTTTGTACGTGTTAAAAAGAAAAACAGAAAGAATTAAACAGTTCAGTTGACAGATTAGGTTGATATGCGCAAAGTAAGAAAATAAAAATAAATTTAAATTATAAGCAGAGAGAAACGGACGCAAGAAAATAGAAACCAATTACATTACACAATCGGGGCTTCATACCATTTGGCTTTCTTAAATGTAGGTCTAAATGTTAGACGCTATGATAATCTTGTCTCTGTAATAGTGTTTAAGCCTAAAGTTATATTCTGAATTAAAATTTACGATAGATAAATTATGTGTCTGTATTAGTGAGTAATAATCTAGTTGAGAAATAATGTTAGAAGAATATATCACGCCATGAAAATAAGCGATAAAATCGAAGTAGAATTTAATGATCGATATGAGCCCGCTTCGTGAGAAGATGTGAGGATGTGCCCTTCTACCGCCTTCATCTAATAACGATGCGCGGATCTCTCTATTTTTAATTATTTCCGCGCAGGATCATTGGGCGGTACAACGGCTAAGAACTATTTTCTTCGCGCAGTCTTAAGTCGAAGAATAAGAAAAACTGTAAGAAACTTAGTAAAACTGTTTATCTGATGCCATATTATGGCGATGATAGAAGCAAAGGCGTATTCAGTGGCGGTTATATGTAGCTGGCAGTCTAATCAATATCCGGTGTCTAAGTTGCTTGTACATCCACCTGGGAGTAGCCCATGCATTGTCTCTAGCAGCGTCTGGATGCGCGCACGGATACACAGCACAGAGTGTGGAGGAGGAGGAGAAGGATATGAGGAGAGGCTAGATCAAGTAGCAAGATGAGCTTTCCGCAAACCTAATCATCATATTGATCCTTGTACTCACCTGACGGCTGGCCGGGATTTCTCTCTTCCTCCCAGGGTTGATGGAAGGGGGGTTTTCCAGAAAGTTTCCTCGGTCTTGACAGCTTCCTCGTCAACATACGCGCCTGCTGCCACAGCCGCCGACCGGACCACATCCAACTCTCTGGACACTGGTGAAACTTGGTCGAATGTACCGCTACACCTGATGGTTCAATAACAGCCCATTCCACTACCAAACCTACATACATACAACACTCCACACAATTTGTGTTGGTGGCAGTAGGCGGACAGGGGGGTGGGTGGGCAGGGGGAGGGGCGAATGGCTCACATTGGTGACAGACTTCGGTCATTGATTGTATTGTTATCACGTGGCTGGGGAGGGAGGAGGGTGGGTTCGGGAATTGCCTCGGCACCGCCTGCCTCTATGTGTATATATGTGTGTATGTGTGTTTTTAAGCCTGAAATATTGGATATAAACAGTGATTCCAGCAGGGGGGGGGGAGGCAGAGAGAGAGAGAGAGAGAGAGAGAGCGCTTAGCGGTACAGGGTCAATATGATCAACGAAAACTCTTCCTCAGTGGTCTTAAGTGACTCTCTAGGTTCATAGACAGACAAAAAATAAAACAAGGTGAGACCGTAAAGAGTCATCCCTGAAGCAAAGAGCGGGTCAAATGTTGACGAGAGCGCTCTCATAAAAGTACACCATGGTCCTGTTTCACAGGGTCTGATCACGCGAGTTCAGCTTCAGAGCTGGTATCCGAAGTTTCACGGAAATGTTAACATCACACAAATTAATTCTTTTGTAGGATGCGAGATCTGTGTTGCTGGTGGGCGAATCTCGACACAAAGGGGTCCCTCTGCAAATAATATTTCGATAATTAAATATCAGGCAACATCTAATTTGGAAGCGAAATATTTCACCTTCTCTCCCTAACTTTTTTTTGTTTGTAATTAAGTATGAAACAAGACATTTCTTCAGCTGTGAATAGATGTAGTCAATTCTAAACTATGACTACCACATAATGAATTTTGTCGAAACTTAAGTACCTATGAACATTCAGGTATTATCAAACAAAATATTTTAACAATTTAAATTCTATCATCTATGTAATGTTTAAAACTTTATTCATACCTCATAGAAAACACAAAGTGTCTCCATTACAATTATGATTTTGTTGATGCTGTTCAAGGAAATACTTTGTAAGATCTGAGGCTTTCACGGCGGTGACTATGAAGAAAACAGTCCTCTGGGATTTGGCACCGTGTATATGTGGTGTTAACCGACGTTTCGGAGGAACGTATCGCCTCCATCTTCAGGGTAGAAGGAAAAATATAAGAAATTCGCAAGCGAAGAGACCGTGAGAACCGGTAAAATCAGACTGCTTTTACCGGTTCTCAGGTCTCTTCGCTTGCGGATTTCTTATATTTTTCCTTCTACCCTGAAGATGGAGGCGATACGTTCCTCCGAAACGTCGGTTAACACCACATATACACGGTGCGAAATCCCAGAAGACTGTTTTCTTCAAGGAAATGCTTGTTTTTATACTGAAATTAAAATAAAGAATAAGTACATTGTGTGGGTAAAACACAGTTTTTATCTGTTAAAGCAGCTGCCAGGCTTGGACCTAAATGTAGCGACCATTGTACTTTAAAGGGTTAATATGTCTGCCTAAGTTAGCAGGCCACATCGTAAAATATTTATTCAGCAACATTAATTGAGTCACGGAAGGAAATACGAGCTAAACCTATGAAGCTGCAGAACCAAACGATGCCATCTATTTCTTGCGAGGTTTTCAGTTCAAATATAATATGTTCTATTTGTGTAAAATATAGAAATAATAACTAGCCAACTCACATAGCAACGATAATGAACGTCAAGGTGATGAAACGCAGGAAGACGACACTGTCCGGTAGGAGCAGCGTATATTCTGCAACGGATAGATGTCAAATCCAGGAAAAATGAGTAAAGCTGTGGTCCTGATCCAAATCACTTCCTGTAACACAGAGAAGAGTAAGTAAATCAAAATGAACTTGAATCTTCGTTCAGTGATATTTAATTGACGTAAAAACACTTCAGTTATAGAGGCTTTGGAAACAGATAAGGGGATTGGGCTCGCTTGCTGTTTGCAGTCACTACTGCTTGAAGTGTTTCCTACAACGGCATGAACTTTTTTTCCTTTTGCTAATTGATTAGTTTCCTCAGGGCCAAATTGGAAGTCCAGCGAGCAATGGGACAGTATTGAATGAAGATATAATTGAGCCCTGGTCTTAAGACAAATTCGCGCATTTTCTGTATCATATTGCGCTCTCAAAGCGTGACAAAAGATGGCTTTCTATAAGTCTCTTGTCATGTTCTTGTATATATATATATATATCCCCCCCTTGGCACTACAGCCCCAGTGGGCCTAGGCCTACCTCCATGAACTTCTCCGTTCACTTCGGTTTTTCTAGATCTTAGACATACGGTAGGATTCCTTGGGCGGGTGATCAGCTCGTCGCAAAGCATCTACCTGTACACAAACACAGAAAAACGCAGACTAACATTCATGCCCTGAGTGGGATTCGAACCCACGTTCCCGGCTTCCGAGCTAGTGAAGACAGCGCAAGCCTTAGACCGCTCGGCTACCGTGACCGGCCATATATATGAATAGATCCTAAGGGGTTCTGACTGTGGTGTATAATACACAGAATTACTGGGTTCTGCGGTTTTTTTTTCCATCATCCGGTGTTCTAGAGAACAGGAAACATGACTAGCGGTGGATACTACATGTCTTCGCAAATGTTGCTCCATTTCTTTGCATTGGTGCTCATGCCTTTGGTTTTGTTGGCTTGGTTTGTACCATAAATTTCTACCTCCTTTTCTAGCCCAGTTCCACGCATGTGCCTGCTTTATCACAACTTTTATTGAGTATTTTCTTGTTATCTCCCGCTTAATTAGCCTGGTCTCAAGCGATTAAATAGCCGTGAAAATATAACAAGGGTTGTCCAGTGGTTGAGATTAGCTCTTTCTAAGGGGCCCATCTGAGTAGGTGTCTTCTCCCCCTTCACCTGAGGACGGAAACAGATCCAGTTTCCGAAACGTCATGTTGTCTGTTCACTACAATACCGGACGATGGAAGAAGTCCAAAATCTCAGTAATTCTGAGTGGATACAGGTAAGTATTTATTACCCTTTATCTCCACGGTTTCATAAATAAATATGATTAATATGCATATTATATATGCATATTAAGCATATATATATGCATAAATATGCTTAATGACAGATGCGGATAGCCTAAGGAAAATCCAAATTAAATAGGCTTATACTTTTTTTTTTCCTTGGCACTACAACCCCAGTGGACCAAGGCCTACCTCCATGAACTCCGTTCACTTCGGTTTTTCTAGATCTTACACATTCGGTAGGACTCGTTGGGCGGGTGATCAGCTCGTCGCAAGGCCTCTACCTGTACACAAACTGAGAAAACCCACAGAAATATTTATGCCCTGAGTGGGATTCGAACCAACGATCTCTGCTTTCGAGCGAGCGAAGACAGTGCATGCCTTAGACCACTCGGCTACCGTGACCGGCAGGCCTATACTTCACATAATATTCAATAATAAAAAATATATTTTTCAAGGTATTCTAAATAATAGCTCAGTTGGTATAGCGACTAGCTACGGGCTGGGCGAATGAGGGGTCGGAGTTCAAGTATCGTAGGGTCAAGAATTTTTTCTTCTCTATGTCGTCCAGACCTGCTCTGGGGTCCACCCAGCCTCCTACAAAATGGGTAACGGGGGTTCTTTCCCGAAGGTAAAGCGGCCGGGGCGTGAAGCTAACCACTCACCTCCAATTAGTGCCGAGGTCAAGAAAATGTGGATCTATACATCCACTGACCTATAAGCCTTCATGGCGTAGTGCTTCATTAGTTAAGCACAGGGACAAATTTACCTTTCTACCTTCTAAATAATCAATGTACGAGTATTTTCACAAAAATTATGACAGCTGAAAAATGAAAAAAGTATTGCTGGAAGATAACGCTACCGGTGTAACTAGCAATACCTAGACGAGGCGCGTGTAGCACCTAGCGGCTCACTGCATACCATAACCTCAGGCATCACCAGTATGGCTGTACTGTAGAAGTGGAAGGAGCTTAACGTTTGGGCCTACAGAGGCAACGTTCACACTTATTTCGACTTTGAGTTCTCGTGGTAATGAATACTAAGTCTACTGTGTTTTAGGCTGTGTTTGGAATGGATCTTGTGGACATTTACCTAATGTTTCGGAGATAATTTTTGTTTCTGTTTTCAGGATATCAGACGAAGCTACGTAAGAAAATGAGGACGAAAATAGGGGCTAAGATCGATGCGATACTAAAGATGGAAAAATCTGGTTCTTTCGAAATGCAGGTAAATACCTCTAAGATTACAAAAGTTCACATATCAGAAAAAGTGTGGATAGATTTTATTTCTAACAATTATTCAGAAGAGATGGGAGAAGGTATTTATAGGTCGGTTGTTATTATTTATTTCCTTAAAAGTTGTATCCGATATTAGATAATTATATTATTCTTATTACTTGATCAGTTAATTTTAGTGTAAACGATTAGAAAATTATAAAGGAAACGTATAATTTAATTATAATTTTAAAAGTCTCATATCTACAAACAATATATTGGAATATTACATTACAGTAGTATTGTAGTGTGTAGACGGCCGCTAGATGGACAGATATACCAGTGTCGTTTCTGGGCAACGGCTAGGTAAACACGTTCCCACGAAACAAACACAATGCCCGTTGCTAACCAAAATATTCTCAATTATTCAACAGTTGGTCTCCAGCAAAAGAACAGCTTCGTTTTCTACGTGTTCCGTGCCAAGTGGTTATATGCGGGACAAGGTCAGAGCTTAGTTCTTGCCGGGAGTCTGAAGAAAAGAGTCAGCGACAGTTGCAGGTGTGCTCATTTGATAGTCAAGGGGAGAAGAGAAGACTAGAAGGTTGTTGTGAAAAGGCAGCGAGTCAGTTCTAAGGTAGGCAGACATTTGGAATGGGGCCGCCCTTCAGACAGGACTTCGGCATGGAAGCAGCATGGCAGCCATTGTTAGAAGCCGTTACCAGGAAATGTCTAGTGAAGACACTGCAGGATGGAAAATACTTGGCCTGTGTTGGAGAGCTTTGTAAATCGTAGAAATCAACGATAACACCTATTATAGTTATTTGTAGTTACGACCTAGTGGCCAATACATCAAATTATCCAAAACCCAGTCCATAGTCTCACATATATTATGTGACAGTATATACAGTGGATCCTCCATATAACGTGAATTCGGTTCTGGCTTGGTGGTACTCATATCCCTCAGTAAGGTTATATACGAATATAGTTTATATTGCACAAATTTCTATAAAAATTTTGGTTACTTTTTCATACCGGTCTGCGACATTCCTTGCTAGAGCCTGTGGGTGCTAATGTGAGTCGGAAATTTACTTTGAATTTTATATATTTTCGTCAATGGTTTAATTTATGTAATACCAGGTAATTTCAAATTAGATTAATATCAGTTCGACGTATAACAAAAATACTTATGCTGTCCCCCCAACACCGAAGCTCAATAATACTCGTATATAATACTAGAATAACCCAATCCAAAGGAATCCACAGTCCTTAAGAGTCAGTTTGTAAATTTTAACAAAACACAATTGGTATTTAATGAACTAAATTATGGCTTATTTATCAAAATAATATCACATAAGACATTACACATATTTTGTTTTTCTATGTAAAGTAACTGAAGAAAAATTTAGGTAGGTTCTGTGTTTCACCATCCTGTAGGGATGGTATCCTGTAGGATACATTTCGGGAACACTACCTATCAGATCACAGGTGCTTAAACTTCTTTGCTTAAGATATACTGAAGAAATTCCAAATTAAAAACGTTAGGCCTATATAACATAATCAGCCAACATTTATTTCAGGAGTTGTTCGTTAAGGATAGTCTTATATTCGTAATTTTCCCTTCAGATATTCAAAAGATATTTAGCGCAGTATAGCAGTTACAAAAATTAGTGAGACTCTAAAGTGTAAGAATAAATTGTCGTTCAAGACAGAGTAATTAGGCTTACGTGACGTACAGGCCTGGGATTCATGGTGTGGTACTTTGTTGCAAAAAAGAGAATTTTAATAGCTCATACATACATACAGATTACGAAAGTCACTAATTATGTTAATAATTAAACCATTAAACATTGATCCGAAATGCAACCACGCAGACGGATTGGGGTTTATTGACCCATAATAAAAGTTTCTACGGCCTATTTATTTCTTTCCTTGTGGAAAATAAATATTTTTATTTAAATTTCGCTAAAAATTTTTTCTCAAAAATAGACCTATACGTTACAATGGAGAAGATGAGAACATAAGTTTCATAATTTTCTAAAATATAAGACCAAGAGCAAAAAACTAGAGAGAAGTTGGTAGACCAAAAAATAAATGGTCTGAAAATATGGAGCCCGAAGACACTCAACTAAGAATATTGTTTGTGGATAAATTAATTAATAAACAGGCCGGCGCCGAAAAAAAAATATTGGAAATATATATATTCGTAAAATATTGAAACAGGCCTGCACCGAAGTATTAGGTACCTTATCCTATAGGACCTGCAAGAGACTAGGTTTTCATGGCGGTGAAAATTCATATTGTCTGCCGTGACACCGTTTATTCTGATAAATAAATACCAGCGATTTGTAGCAAAGGATTGCCTTTCTAACACGAAAAGTTGTGCCGTAAATCAGGCGGTTAGCCGCCGGCTTCCCACCGCGCCAGCTCCGGTTCGATCGCCGGTCAAGCCATCTGGAATTTGTAGTGGACGAAACTGCACTGCATCGGTTTTTGTCCGAACACTTCGGCTTTCTTGCCAATTCCGTTTCCACCAAATGCTCGACATTCGTTATTCATCCTAAAATCGACGCTACATAGTCTCGTTACTGTCAGCGTCGTTAAATAACAAACTTGAAATCT